TGCCCATGACCTAAGTAATAGGAAATATCTACTGCTTATGAAGAAAGGGATATATATCGTCATCCGCAGTCAATTACTATTGTTCCAATGCTTGGCAACGATATTTTGGTTCACTCTGTGACGGTACTCTTGATCCTTGGTCGGATTTAAGAAAATACCAGCCTCGTCGAATCACTTTCTTAAAGTGTCTGGGCCGACGAGACATTTCGTCAAATCTTGAATTCGCATTGTTGTGCCTCCGGGTGTGCCGTAAGAATAGTGATCACACTTGCCGTTAAAAGAATTCGCGCTTGGCTGTGTTGAATTTAAATCAGTTTAGATCAAGGAAAACCACGAAGCGATGACCAAACACTTCCATAAGTGTTACGCCTTGTTTTGGTAGTCCGTCATCGGATTGACCTGGACCTGGACCACATGTCAATGGCCTTTTGAGGGAACGGTGAAACGTCATCGACGCGTTTGTCCGTGAGTTGAGCGAAGCAAATTTATCAAAAACGATCAAGAATACCCACTGGACGCCGCTATGCTGCACTCAAAAAGTGAACATAGTAGTTTGCTGAATTTGTAAAATGCTTGTAAATGGAAGCTGATATGGAAAGGCGGGCGGGCAGGCTATAACAAAATATTAGGCGGACGACAAGAGCAAACTCATCTGGACCCGGGTGTTTTGTTTGCTCACATAGCCGTCAATTGCCCAGACATTATGGCCCAAGAGTGAATACATACAGCAATCAAATTAAAAATTGGAGTTAACCGTTATTTAACGCTACGTTTTGAAGAATACTTAATGTTCTGGTGAACAAAAGAAAACGTTTTTGTCATAGCAACACTACAGCCGTCGAGACCTTAGCATGGTTGTCATGCTATAGATGTCACAAGGTAGTACAACGATACTTTTTTTAGTACGCGATTAAACAATGAGTGTAAAAATGAGGTTGGAAAAATGCAAGCTTCAAAAATGAGAATCTTGCTATTCTCAGTGAGAGATGCTGTGATAACTTCGCCGTGCGCAACGGCGTATGATCTGTACAAATTACAAACGGATCCGAGCCAAGCAACTTCACTTTGATCTTGACAAAATCATACTTAATTGAAGAGGCTTCTTAGCACGAAGTAATGAAGGTATTTCCACTGCCGCTCTTAGCAGGTAAGATCTACATGCGGCGATGTTTTAAATCAATCGCCATGTGCTTTGAGTAAGAGACAACCTGCGGCAAAGGATGAAGCGTCCCGGACGACATGAAACGGCATATCTAGAGTGAGAATAGCCATATTTGGAATTTGAAGTAGACTTTTCACATTCTTGAAGGCTAGCTCTTCTGAAGTCGTTTTACGAGTGGTCGTGCCATGTGCAGCAATGTTTTGATGCAATAAGTCGGCCAGGCAAAGTCTTTCCTTGACGGCGATAAAATATTTTGGTCTAGATGCTAGAGAGATCTGTTTGCAAAACATGACATTTTATAAAGGTTCCTC